GAATGAAGGGTCTAGGCCCGAAACGTCAGCCTTCCTGCTCCTCTGATGCTGCTTGGCCTGCTGTGTTCATCCAGCTCTACACCTTGTTATATCAGATTTTCCAGCATCTGCAGTTCCTACTATCTCTGACACCATCCAGGACAAAGTGGGTTTGTGGCAGCCCATCCACCAGCTGCAACATGTACAGTCTCTAGACCAGTGCTCAGTAGCAGTCAGGTGTACCATCTACAAGATTGACTGACTGCAACACCTCACCCACGATTCTTCACCAACACCTTGCAGACCCAGGACCCCTCCCAATTAGTTCAGTTTTACTTCCCATTTTTGACATTTCTGCAAACTCTTTAGATGAAGATCGTTGTATAACGTTGTACTCCTGAGAAGGGGAGAAAATAGTGAAAATAGATTACTGTAGAGTAAGCAGTTAGTAATAGTAATAGCTGCAGACCACAAGTGTTTGCAAAAACCTGAAGGTCATTTGAAGCTTAGTACTTTTAAGCTCAGATACACGATACCTCCACAAAGATCCTATCAGATTTTTGAGTCTGGGAGTTTAAGTCAAAGTAAACCCATTAAATTGTTGAGGATGGTATTTTCTGGTGTGAGTACTGTACAAGGTTGTCTTTGGGATCTGCAGAAGAGTTTTGAGATTAAAGACCACCTCATTAAAACCAAACAAAGCAAAATATGATTGAGTAAGAGAGATTTCAGACTGGGATCTGACTTGTCCGGTAATAATATCAGCTGTGGTATAATAAATTGAACCCACCTCGTGAAGAGTTTATTGACTTTCCAGAGTCTTGCCCTTTTTATCCCACCTCAGTATCATAGCTATTCCTTATTTACATGTGTTGAGACTGTTATGGACCAGACTAAAACCCCTTCAAATATATCCAGGAGATAGCCTAGACCATAACTTTTATCTTATTCAAAGGCAAGTGTAAGGTGCTGTGTTCCACATGTAATTCAATTGGTTACACTACTCAATTGTAAGCAAAACATGCTTTATTCTTGGCCTGTAGTTAAAATGCAACAAAAGAAAGAAGAATTGATATAAATTTAACTCTATTGGCAAACCTAACAGAATAATACATTTTTTAACTATGAACAGCAAGTATTTCAATACATAATATTCCATAAACACATCCTTAGCAAAGGCAAACTCAAAAATAGATTGGTTCGCATGCAGTATTTCTCCAGTCCAGGAATATGGCCACAAGACAACTAATAGCCACCACCTCATTCTCTGTTAATGCCTTTGTTTAATATTAAAATGTGATTAACCAAACATTAACAGACTCCCTCTTTCTTTAACGAGTACTGAGTTGGATGATTGGCCATGATCCTATTGAATGAAAGGGTTGTATGAGCTATTTGCTGTTCTTTTCTATGTTTCTGTATTTAAATTTAAACTTTTGATGATCCCTCCAAAACAAATAAAAAAAAAACTTTCTTTTCATCTACTGTTTCGTGCTTTTATAGTAGAATGAACCCTTAACAAATTCCTCTATTTCACGATCTTTAATTTTTTTCTACATGCAGAAATGTGTCACACTGGCAAGTTGAATGTGCATCGTCGCAAAGAGAGTGGTTATCCACATTACATTCTGTGTGATTCTTTCATTGATTGCTCTTTGCATAAAATTCCACTCAGAATATTGCACATATGTAGCCATCTTTCAGCCTGAAGTACTGACTGGATTCTGGGGGCCCTCGGCAGATGACTGCAGCTCCACAGCACTTAAGATTGACACCATTCGGGTCAAAGCAGCCAACTTAAATGGCACCAAATCCATGAACTTTCACTTTATTCTCCACCAATATTCAATAGTAGCAATATTTATTATTTACATGATGCGTTGCAGAAATTCACTAAGTGTCCTTACACACCTCCTTCCAGACCCATGACTAGTGCCATCTAGAAGGACAAGGGAACCAAATACATGGGAACATGATCATCTACAAGTTCCCTTCCAAGACATTCACCAGCCTGACTTGGAAATATATGGCTGTTTCTTCAGTGTTGCTAGGTCAAAATCCTGGAACACCCTCCCCCTTGTCAATATGTGTACACTTACTTACAATGCATTGCAGTGGTTCAGGATGGCAGATCATCACTACCTTTTCAAGAGCAACCAGGGATGGGCAACATATGCTGACCCAGCCAGTATTGCCCACATTCCCATGAGTGAATAATAACAAAAAAAGGTGCTGGTCTCCAGCCAATTTCATTAATTCGTGCAACGTCAAGAAATGGCTGGCACTGGATAAAGCGAACAATGTAACTGTGATAGCATACTGGTGTAGCACTGAAGATTTATGTTCAAGAATTAGCTGTTCCCCTTGCCTAATTGTTTCCGTACAGCTGAACCACTGGTATCTACCGGAGAATGAGGAAAATTACCCAGTGTGCCCTTTGGTCAAAAATCAGAACAAATCCAATCCAGTGAAATACCCCGATGAATCTGTGTCTCAACCATCAGCAAAATAATGGGAGTGTCATCAATACTGCTATCAAGTAGCAATTGAACAACTACAACCTGCTCACCAATTGTAAGTCTCAGTTCTGTTTGGGTCACTCAGCATAAGACCTTATAACAGACTTATTCTAGACATTGGAAAAAGAGCTGAACTCCAGAGGTGAAGTGAGACTAGCTGCCCTTAAATGCTGCCTTGATATTTAACCAAGTATGCTTTCAAGGAGCCCTAGATCACTGGGAATTTGTGAAAAACTGTCCGCTGGATGGAGTCATACGTAGCACTAAAGGAAGATGGCTGTGCAACCTGATTATCTCTGCTACAGATTGTTAATGCAGGAGTTATTCAGGGTAGGGTTAGAGGTCAGCCATCACCACCTGTTTCACCAATGGCATTGCTTTCAGCATAAAGCCAAAATGCGGATTGTTCGCACATGATTGTACAGTGTTAATAAACACTGCACAGCTCCTTGGATACTGACACAGTCTGGGCCCACATGTAAAGAGATCTTGGTAACACACAAGCTTGTGTTGATAAGTGGCAAAAGTAACATTTGCCACAAACAATCGCTAAGAAGCAGCCATTGTAATGAACAATGAACTTCTATTCGTTTCGGCAGCACATGTACTATAATTGGAATGATATAGAAAAGATTAGCATTGCCCTTGTGCAAGAATGACCTGCAAATATGAGGTGTTCCATGTTTTGGGGCCCTCTTATGGTTCAGTGGTAGTGCCCATACCCCTGGACCAAGAGGCCCAGGTTCATGTTCCCCTGCTGCAGAGGTGTAATAACATCGCTTAACAGGTTGATTAGAAAAATAGGTTAAATAAAAAAAACTTTACAAGATGGTTATGTTTTAAAATATTTAAGGTGAAACAAAATGTCCTGGATAGGATAATGTTAAGGTCATACTGAATGCATCATTTGGGGATAGGCCCATTTTATCTGATTGCCATGGGGCAAGAAACTTGAGCAGGAATCCATTGAATTATAAGAGTGATTTGTTTTCATATTGGGACAGCTGTATTTTGAGAAATAAAAGGAAAGATGCAAGCACTGCTTTGTGGAGAAGTGAAGCAGGAGGATTGATTAGACTTTGAACTGGACTAGCCATATTAATGCAATGGCTACAAGAGGATCTCAGAGGCTGGAAACTCTGTGGTACGTAACTCACCTAATGACTTCCCAAAACCTGTCCATTATCCACATTATAGTCAAATACTCTCCATCTACCTGGATGATTGCAATTCCAAAATTACTACAGAAGTTTGACATATCCATGTCAAGGCAGTCTAATTAATCAACATATCATCCACCCCCATGACCACTCTTCCCCCTCCACCACTGTCACACAGTAGCAGCAATGTGTACTATTCACAAGATACACTGCAACAACTCGCTCTTTTGACAGCACCTTCCAAACCTGTGACCTCTACTATTTTGAAGGCCAAGGGGAGCAAATGCACCACAACCTGCGATTTATCATTCAAGCCATAACACCATCTTGACTTGAAACAAGATCACCATTCCTTCACCGTCACTGGGTTAAGAAACCTGGAAATCCCTTCTGAACAACGTTGAGTACCCACACCTAATTGACTTCTAGAAAGCACTTTGTCACTTTCTCATGGGCAGTTTGGGATGAGCAACAAGCTGTTCATATCTCATTAACAAATTTAAATAATCTAGATTATGTATTTGTACCTTGGAACTTGTAACTCTTGTTTTTGAGAGAATTTTGTAAACTAAGGATGTTGAAGGTCTTGGAGCAAAAGGCAGGCATTTGGCATTGGGTTGCCAGTCAGCTACTATCTAAGTGAAAACAAAATAGCTAAATGACCTACTTCTTGCTATTCCTTTTGTCTTTATGTTCCAAGTGGGCACAGTTGGTTAATTCAGGCTTTCCCAAAATTTCTGTACTTACTTTAATTATTATTGAGGGACTAAAATGAAGCTTGGGGGAAATAAAGTAATGGCCAAAAATCAGACAACGGATATTGATTCATCATTCGGATTTTCAAATCCCAATGATTATAGGAAGGAAAGATTGTTTGAGGTAATTTTCTATTTTGTGTTTTGCAATTCATCAGTAAGAATTGTAGATCATGTGTGATAGTTACAGAAAAGGCGATAAAAGAGGAAATTTATTTACCCTTCTGGTTCGTCCGTACAGCAAGTTCCCTCTTAGCATTGACTCATTTAATGCTGTTTTGCTTTAATGTTAATGAAGCATAATAAGATATCCATTTTAACATTGCGAGTGTACTTTAACATTGCTTGACATAGACTTTCTGTTGCATTCACACATGACTTATGACCGACTGTCATTGCCTTCAGTACTGAAATCCCTCTTCCCTCTGGCTCCAATTCCCACCATCCATGCTTTCCTGTTAAGTTCCTGACTTCCATTGCCATGACTGGGGACTTGTGTTGCTATCTGTAATACCTTCATTGCTGGCTTCATTTCAATCCTTTCTCCTGGCCTCTTTCTATGTCCCTTTTTTATTCTCCAGCTCCTGTTTCTGTCCTCCATATAGATTTACACTATGTTGTATTTTGTTTGTATTTTTGAATTTATTTTACTTTTTGAGGTTATTTCATTTATGAAATTTGCAATGTTTGGGAATGCAACTACAACTTTAACAGAGGAGCTTGCTGTGCAGGAATATCTATGATGAGCCCATCACAATGCCCAATGCCTGCTGCATTTCAGTTTTGATTTCAACACATTTAGGATCTATTTTAATCTTTACACTGCTACACCCAGCAGAAACACTGTGGAAGTGTTTAAAATCTTCGAAGCACAGTTATTGTTGCAAAAATAAGAGGATTGGAATTGAAGTTGAGTAGCAAGATTGCAAATAGAATGAGACGGTATGCATATGTGATGTTGAGATGTAGTTGGGTAGGAAGGGTGGGAAAGATGTTGGTATTACAGAAATTTTAACAAGAAATTGGGTGTGCTCCTGATCCTGAGGATTACAGACCCATCAACAGAACAGTAATAGGAGCATGGTCATAGATTTAGAGGGCCTAATTCAACTATTTGAAAGGTGACCTAATTTAAAAAAAACGTCAGAACAATACAGGCATGTTATTTGTCTTTTAATTAATAAGGTTAGTTGGAGATGAATGAAATAAGCCTTGACATGTATTTTAAAATTTGTGTGTTTTTGCTGGATATAGATTTTTTAAAAAAAATCTTTATTGATTTGGGATTTTAATTTATTTTACTCATGTAAAAATCAGTAAAATTCAGTATTGTACATATGATATTGCGATAAGGACACATGGAAACATTGAACATGCTGTTCAGATTTTTTAATGCTACTGTAATAGCAGTATAATGTTTACACAAAGCTGATTTATTGAATGTTTATTGGTTAGAAATGCATCTTGTAAGAAAATGGTCTCTACCACTTCATCTTATAAGAATGGCTGAAATTTGTTGTCCAACAGATTTGTTTTCTTTTCTTCTAACGTTTTTGGCTTGTGAACATGTTCGTTTTTGTTATAGCCTAAATGATTGATATGTTGTCAAAATCAATAATTTGCAAAGCTGAGGCTCTTAGGAGAATCAGAGATAGTAGGAACTGCAGATGCTGGAGAATCCGAGACAAC